CCTGATCAAGAATATATATACTTTGTGGGGTCTGCCACGCCTCCTTCTGCCTGTTACATACATTTCAACAAAACCATTATACCCTGATTTCCCATTTTTAATGGGTTCAGGGTATAAAAATAATGTTCCCATAGTAAGCCACCCACTGCAGCCAATGTGTTTTTATGCGTGCCTGCGTATGTCTGTGTGTGTGCGAGCATGTGTGAATAATTATTGAAATATCAGTTGCTCGACGGGTTCAGGGTATCTCGTACTCGAGCAGTCTAGAGCTTTCTTACTTGTTTGGCTAGAACATGATTATATTATAAGAGAATGTCGTTAAAAATTGTTAACGTAACGTAAATCGTATTTAAGCTAAGTTCGACTTACCATACTTTTATAACAATGCATTTCTGATGATTATCTAATTAAAATCCAGAAGTGCTTATTATGCATAGAACATCGAGTAGATATATATCTTTATATATTGATATTGTCTGCCAGTTTGCAATAAAAAAATAGATTAGATAATAATATTACAATATCGTCAAATACATGTATATGTATATATACAAGAACATGCAAAAATAAAAAAATAAATAATAATAACAACATTAACAGCTATTGAAACACACAAAATTTACTTAACAATTAATTTGCCGCAAATAAAGGTTACCGATTTTAAGCATATTTTAATGTATCTATCAATCAGTTAATCAAATTGAGAAATCTTGTTCACTTAAAAATGTCTATTGTTCTTTTATTTCTTGTCATTGAGTTCCCGTTAGATTTTTTTTTTATACATACATATCTATACAGTTAAAGTAGACACATGTACATATATGTACGTATATATACATACACCCCCAAAATTTATGCAATCGAATTTTAAAAAATATTCAATTATATTAAATATACACCTTCAAATCATGAATTTCAAATGAATGGTTTCTATAAATTATGAAGAATTCTTAGTTTTTAGAGAATTGACCTTTGCAGATAATAGAAAATTAAAATATACTTACATATGATTAAATAGATATATAAAAGATATACGGTAATAAATATTTTTTACTTAGAAAATATTAATTAATTTATATTTCGAAATTTTCGTTAAGCTAATTGGTGCAGGTGCTCGACAATAACAAATATTAGTGCTGGTTTTTTAAAAGTGAGTCGAATTCAATTGAATGTTTTGAATAAATTAAGAATTACTTTTTTTTGCAATATTTATAAGCTCTTCCTCTTATTAAGCGACATATTTTCGTCGATAGCCCCATACCGTGGATATAGATGTGATTATATCTTTGATGCGATGATTTCCCATAAGTCACAATCATGTTTTTGATTTTTACTTATTTATTTTTTTATTCATTATATTTTTTTTTTTAATGGATAGATAAATTCAACAGTGTCACTATAGAAAATATAGAATACCATATTAAATTTAAAAAAAGTGTATAAAACATATACCAATTTTTCCACAATATTAAATTCATCCTAACTGCAAATAAATCTGGCATACATAGATATTATATAAATGGATGTATAGATGAACAGATATATATTCTGCATATGTATGTATCTGTATGCAAGCACGTAAGTGTGTACACATATTTAATATATCTGTGTATTTGTGTTTACATGTGTATATATAGGTATACATTTATATATTACATACCCACGAGTATATTTGCACACACTTAACTGGGGGGTGAGAACCGTACTCCACCCTTGATAGACATCGACTTTTTTGACTAGCATACAAATTTGAATTTCACACAAATATATTAATCCAATAATATATTCACACTTTCGTAAAATACATTAACTAGAATTTGCCCTCTCAGTTTTAAACGACAAACATGTATGGATATGGGCGACTTTGATTTGGACTCTACGATATATGTATATACTAAAGTTAAATT